AATAAGGTTTAGAAGGTTGCAAATTTCACTTAAATTCATCGTTGATCGTATGACATGAATTCACAATTTCATGAAACATTGCATATGCTACATCGAACTACTTGACGTCAGACATGCTAAAGGGATTTTATAACTATATTCAGCAAATTTTTTCAAATTTTTTCATTGAATTTTTAATTTTTTTGAGTAATTTTTTGAAAATTCAAATTTAAAAAATACCACGTTCACGCCGTTTGCGCCGCCGATAAATTGTTCGGCGCAGCGGCGTGGGCTAAACACTCGGCGGCGGCGGCGTTCGGCGGCGGCGCTCACCCCTGTATTGTAAAGCATTTACGCAACACGTACGTCAAGCGTTCGGAAACAATTACAAAAGTAAATACTCAATAACATTAGAAACCAGGCACGTAGACAGGGGGGGGGGGGGGCTAGGGGGGCGGCAGCCCCCCCGGAAAAAATCGAACCCCAGAAAAAAGATCATAAGCCCCCTAGTCCCCATCGTCGCCTGGTAACTGGGCTGTGTTTATGACTGCAGTCAGTCAAAGATTTGAACTGTGGATTAGTAAATATCTGTCATAACATCCAAGCAAACATTCTAGAAGACTTCTATAAATAGTCAATAGTGTCCCCTAGACCGTAGGAAATGTAAAAATCTTAAGACGATGAGGCCTGAGTAAGTCGTAAATTCTGATTGGAGAATGCAGATTGCTGTTGTGAAGTTACCAAATTTATGTGAGTACTTGATTCTTTTCAATCCCAGTTTATTGCTGTCCTACAAATTTCTTTAATGCCAAATGTCGTCTAAAACACCCTGTTTCGCAAAAATTTTCGACCCCCTCTAAGGGGCTCCGCCCCTGTACCCCGCTGGGGGCTGCGCCCCCAGACCCCTGCCATGCAGCTTGCTCGCTTCGCTCGCTGCGCAGCTGGATTGGACACGTCGGCTCGCTTTGCTCGCCGACAGCCCCCCTCAAAGAAAAATCCTGGCTACGTCCCTGTTAGAAACAGATCGAGAAATATTATCCTTGCCTTTTCACTACTAAACTCTTTTGTTTATGGCACTAGTAAACCTTTTGTCTATTCTTTTGTATAACAAATGCATTAGGCGTTTATAAATACACCCCGCACGATATAGTAGAGGCTCTTACGGGCAAAAAGACGTGTTTTCTGCTACGAGTTTAGAGACCTAACCGCTAATTGGACACAATAGTATGATGTCTAAGGATCGATAATATGTTAAGAAGTATAAATTTGGCCTTATTAGTCACGTGCTATACCAATGCGCGTTTTAAACTTTGACAGTCTATTACTCTAAGGCAAATAGAGTAATCATATTCATATTTTGTCAGCAATAAGATCACATTATTTTCTATTTGGTGTGAAAATATGAGCTAGAACGGACATAATCTCGCTGAGTTATAGCTGTTTGAAATTTATGATGAACGCGCGGGTGCCAATTAATAACAACTAAATGCTTTTGCGCGTAGTGCGCGTCGAAAATTTGGCAAAAACGCTTGCGGAGTGACAATATTCAAACTTTGATAAAGTATATGAAGTGGGTACTTCTCGGAAAGGAAAAATTTAGGCAAACACGATGTGACTATTTTTGGGTTGATTTAATACAACTGCAAAAATTTTTTCAAACTTCAAGCAAAAAAGTCAAAATTTTTACCACTTTTTTGGGTTTTTGCCTGCACTAAAATAAAGGGATTTTTAAAATTTTTTAACCATCTTGTGCGGCTGTCTTTTAGCTACCTTCATGCAAATTTTGCCGACATGCCAACAAAATTAACTTGCTCAAATTATCAAAAAACATGCTTTTTTGGCCTATTTTTGGCCCCAAAATCGGTTTTTTGCAATTTTAACGGTGCTAACTCAGTCCAATCATTTTGAAACTACTTTTAATCGATTCTACGGTCAAAAATGCGTCTAGTAAGGTGTATCTGGGGTCCCTAGCGTATCGAGCAGACAATGCCCGTAAGAGCCTCTACTAATATGAATATGATATATCCGTCAATAAAAGAATATTTTTCCTTTCTCAAGAAAGCGCAGATTGGAAGATAAAAGATTGCCAGCTTGTCCTTTCTCAAAAATAATTGGACAATAGCTTGTAATTGCATCTAATTAAATAGCCTTTTGTGAAGTAGTCGTAAGCTGATGATGTTGAGAACATAAGACGAGAAAAATCAAATTGTCGAAAAATATACGATAAATCTGATCGGGATTTTACTGTAGTAGGATCCGGTCTATAAGCTGACTAGCAGTGGTGTGCACCGCCGTGTTCAACCAAAATCGGCGGCGGCGTTTTTTCATTGAATTTTAATTTTTTTGAGTAATTTTTTGAAAATTCAAATTTAAAAAATACCACGTTCACGCCGTTTGCGCCGCCGATAAATTGTTTGGCGCAGCGGCGTGGGCTAAACACTCGGCAGCGGCGGCGTTCGGCGGCGGCGCTCACCCCTGCTTCAAGGACATCGTCGAAGGGGAAGACCACACCTTACATATATTGACATCCTTCGGAAGGACACGGGGCTTGACGACAGCAAGGAGATTAACAAACTCGTGCTGGATAGACAGATTTGGAAAAAAACTATCTCTGTTCGGACGTTGAAGCCGCCCTAAGTCGAAGTAAGTCGAAATACACATTACTCCGGAACACACAAAGATTATATTTTAACATATTTCCTGGCACGAGGGCATGAGTGATGAAACGTACCTAACTAGTATTACCTATGTCCCGCCCTCTCGGAGCATTTTGTACCCCAAATATTTGTTGCATCTTTAAAAAAGTATCCATGGCCATATTACTTAACAATTATACATTGCTACTGTATATTAGGACGCAGTGAAACTATCGGACTATACGATGTATGGGGATTGCCACCCCATGGCAACATTAAAATATATCGACTCTGTTACATTGTTTTCAGGTTTCCTGTCAATATAAAACTCCGTTAAGAATTGAACTACTAGTTCTTTAACGTTATATCGGTAGAAATAGGACAAACGCTTTCTGATTTGTATAAAACAAAAAATAATTTCCGATAGTTAAAATAATAGCAGTATGATGTTATAATTACAACTTCATGACTTCTTCACGGAACTATTAAATGTTATAATCTCACTAAACTGTTGTTAAATCCCATTAACAAGTCGAGCAGTTCGAGAAATAAAACCTCATAAACGTTCAGTCTAACTTTAAACTGCATATTTTGTTCAAAGTTAATTTTGGGCGCGTTATAAAATTTGTATCACCCTTGGTTACGGAAATACAGCTCAGAACACTTTAAGTCAAACTAATAGTAATAAGTCGTTGTGTGATTAAAAGTGAATGAAACTGAATTAAATTGTTCGATCTGTCTGATTACACTGTCTAGGTACACAAATTAACAGCCGTCTAAAAGTTCTGGTCACAAACGGACAGATTGTAGTGCCTGATGTTTAATCTGGGCTTATCGAACAACCAATTGACCAATTAACCAATTAACCAATTGTTAACTCTTACCTGATGCAAACAGAGCTAATGCAAATTATTGACATTGAGTTGAGTTGCTCCGGACGGTGGCACCGACGGATCTATAAAAGAGATAATTACATAATTATATAATGTTAAATGTAAAAACCTTATTAAACCTAGTCGTTCGTACCTATTTAACCCGATTTCTGAGGAAATGGCTGGGTTTGATTAAATCTACGACAGTTTCGGTGCTGTTTAGGAAAAAGATTTCTTCGGAATGAGTCTGAAAAGTGGAATTTTAAACTATTCTTAACGTGTTTAAAGTCCACGTGCAACAAAAGAGTGACGACGATATAGGAGTTTACGGAGTTTACGGTGTGTTATCTGATATCTCTAACGATTTTTTTAACGGCCAGGTAGCGCAGTTGGTTAGAAAGCCAGCTTTGCAATCGTGAGGTTGCGGGTTCAAATCCCACTATCTGCCTGGTCGTGGGGTGAGCGTCGTTGACGTTCAGCTAAGGATCCTGACTCCTGAGTGGTATATGCAGCCCCCGGTCTACTCAGCCGAATACTCGAGAAATCGGGTGTGAGGGTTAAATTATGAGGAGCTGCACATTGCAGCAAAGTCTCGGGCGAAGAAAGTATGGTACACACTACCTTAACCGTCACTGGCTAAAAACAAATCCTTCGGCTTCCTGTAATTGGCTGGTTGCACTTGTGTAACAATGTGGCTGTTGGAATTCTCCGAAGTAAAATAAGTGTCTTGATAAAAAATATATTATAAGTAGGTCAGAAGAAATATTTCACTAAGTGTTAAGTTGATCTTGCTGCTGTCAAGTGGAAATTCTCATATTTCAGACTATTAATTGAACGCGTATACAAAGTAAAAAGCATTTGAAACAAGTCAAGCTATAGATTAACGTGGCAGATTATTTCACTCTAAAGTCTAAACAGTAATCACAATAAAAATAGAAAACATAAACTGTGCAGGACAGGTTGTCACTCAGAGTTTCAAAGTGGGTGGTACTGGTAGGTTAGTGGCACTTATATAAAATATAACAACTATAGAGAGAATTGTCAAATTACATTGTTCACTGTTCATCTCACCACCATATTGGCCTATTAAGTAAGCTAGATTTCGGCCATTTTATACTTTCATACACAATTCCCTCGATCCGTAGGCAACTTATATATAAGCTATATTATATTTAAAAAAAACCCTATGCGCCAGCCTTGTCCTACGTAAGATGTTAACGATCCCTTATATCTTTATATATTTATAATATGTTATAAATTCTGCTCTGTCCGTCCAATTTCCTATCTGCTTGTCCTTTCTTTTTTCTTAATCAGTTGTGACGGAATTGTAATGAACAAAATCCTTATTATTATTTATGATATGTTTGATTTCTTGTTAATGTTTGTCATTCAAATTTGGTAGACGGCCCCAACGTTAATGTGGCTCTTGCTATGTGTTGGTTTAGCCGAATTAATTATTATATAATCAAGTTTATTTTTCTCGTTAGTTGTCATCCGGCCAAACATTAAGCAACTTTATATTGCCGTCTCCGGATCAGCCCTCCTTGACAGTTGACTCTATCATATCACAATCCATGAAATGGTTCGTAAATTAAACATTATCGATCTATTAGTGTTCATATTTATTGGAAAGATTCTCCATTTTTCTCTGTCACCCTATGATTCCGAAGTAATATAATATACCTTATTTCAACCTATATTAGTGATATAATCATTCAAACGCATGGAAAACTAATTGAATAATTAACTGATTTCAGAGCAGCTGTGAACACAATTTTGTCAAAACATAACGCACACCATCGGCTGCTGATTGAGTGATATTACTTCCTAATTCACAGATCTCCAAATCTACTACTTTACACTAACCTAGCAAGACAATGGAATGAACACTTCATCTTACTGAACTAATTAACATACTGGACATTGAGACTTGAATTCCAATAATTGGTATCATTGAAGTATGACTGAAACACATCATTTAATTTTGTATAACCACTAATTAGAAAGTGGAACAGAGGGACCAGTTTTATGCACAACATGATAATAATATGTTCTCTTCCTTAACTATCCATTTCCATTTCACCGGAACCTACATTATATCGTGTATCATTTTTCTCTGCCACAGAGTTGCGCGTTGTTATGGCAACTTCAATCTTAACGTTTGCGGAGGAACATTCAAATTAAATCTACACGCGATATTTCAGAGTACAGTCGCGCGGCTTATCAGTAAAATTAATTAAATTACCTCAACGCGCGCACTATGTCTGAACAACATTTATTTTCCTCGTGCCACAAGAAAGGAAAAATTAATTGAAGGCCAATGTATTATATAATGAAATTTGAAGAGTTGGTGCAAGTGGATGGAAATCTAGCGTCCGCCGACAGCCGAACAAACGGGCGCAATTCTTGTTCTCGTTAGTTGTCATCCGGCCAAACATTAAGCAACTTTATATTGCAGTACCATTTATCATTTAGTATATCAAAATATTTCATTGTAATTTTGCATGGCTGAAATGTAACGCTTGATTTATATATATAATGATTAATTGAATTTTCAAATAAAAAAAAATACTATAGCATCGTCACCAGATTATCTTTAATTTCAAATAACCCTGCAGTTTAATTGGAACAGGAGATGTCTCATAGTATCTAGATAAGCAAGGAGAGAAAGTAGGAAAGTGTGACAGCTAGGATGGAGGAAGCAGCTAGTTTTGTACCACGTGACTTGGCAGCCTCCAGTTTTCCACATCCGTCAGTCTTGCAAGTGTTTGTCTCGTCACCTTGAGGGATTAAAGTTTACTGTTTGGGGGACTATGGATAGTATTTAAAATAGTGTACAGTGTACATTATTGTATATGTTTTTCATCAATATATTACTATATTAATTATACATGTACGACGTACGTTCATACAAGTTTTACTTCTTTAGTTGTCTGATAGTGATACACACACTTGAAAATGAATTAGGAACTGAGAAAATTACTAACATTGGACGGAAGATTTAACATCTTTAGCATCAGGGAAGTTTTCGGATTTTGTCACCGTTGCAACAAACTCTTCCTGTTTTTGCCTGAAATACATTTATATGGTTACAGTTATCGTGTTAATGACATATGATTAAATGTATTAAGCATTTTCTTAACTCAAATTAACGCAGATTATTTCTACGAAATAGGACACTTTTTTGCTTAAACTCACTTGCAGAAATCTTGTTTGGAAGAACCACAGTTTTGGGTGAGAGCGTTTATAGGGATCACCATGAGAGTGGAATCAGCTCCAGAAAACGTTATTCTAGAGGGTAATACAAATACCTTAATACTTATTTATGCTAACAAGCACATATTAATGACATCAAGTTATCCTTTTTGGATTGTACACGAAGTCGTGCAATGTAACATGACTTTTCAATTCTAGGCCATTTCGGTGGCGTCATTAAGCGATCAGGTGACGTAATCATGCCACGACGTCATCATACAATCACGTGACGTCACCATGCCGTCACGTGACGTCACCATGTATAATTAACATAATATTAAATGACTCACGTAACGTTAACAGTTGCGGTAATACACTCATCTTGCCCGTCCACACAAGTTACACTTTCTGGATTTTGGCACGACACTGAAATAATAAAATCACAAATTAAAAAAACTGTTTAATAAATCTTACTTAGAGTCAATACAACAATGAAAACATATTGATAATTAATACGTTAATACATCGTTTTTTAAATGTGCATTTGATTAATTAATCCTCTTAAAAATTTCTTTAAATATCGTTTAATCACTCTTCAATAACTTTATCTTTTATACTGTTATAGAATATATAAGTGATTAACCAATATCCCAATCAAAATAATTGCATAACATTTGTTTAAATACATTTCCAAGAAGTAGAAAAGAAATGTACGAATGAGAAATAATAATAACAATACAAATAACAATACAAATAACAATACAAATAACAATACAAATCCCACCTTGCTTAAAGTCGGTGATTCGCTCATTAGTTTCTGCAGCACCAATACTGCTCACCTCCAAGCAGTGGTTGCATTGAAGACACCTCACTACTTCCAACACCACGTAGAGAACTAGAAGGTTCCTCATCGTCATGGTGATTTGCTGATTCCGACCAGGATAACAGAGCAGAGTATAGTTTATTTTTGTTTTTTTTTTGTTTTTTAAATTGTTGTTGGCGTTTTGGAAAGTTAACGTTTAATATTTTTTTTATCTAGACACTTATTTTACTTCGGTGTATTCCAACAGCCACAATGTTACACAAGTGCAACCAGCCAATTACAGGAAGCCGAAGGATCTTTTTGGCCAGTGACGGTTAAGGTAGTGTGTACCATACTTTCTTCGTCCGAGACTTTGCTGCAATGTGCAGCTCCTCATTTAACCCTCACACCCGATTTCTCGAGTATTCGGCTGAGTAGACCGGGGGGCTGCATAGACCACTCATGATCCTTAGCTGAACGTCGACGACGCTCACCCCACGACCAGGCAGTCAGTGGGTTTCAAACTCGCAACCTAACGATTGTAAGACAGGCGTTCTAACCAACTGCGCTACCTGGCCGCTATTGATTGCAATTGTCATGAACCTATTCGCCAGGTCTTACCTCATTTTATAAGATAAGCAATTAAGCAAGATTTCTTAGAATACTCTTTATACTTGGCCTGGCTTAGAAAAGAACAAATATTACCAACAAAAGCTCTATCAGAATCACACATAGAACAACGAAAACAACTACATCAAGAAGAAGAAGGATTTTAATTTTGAAAACATGATAAAGTGGAAATCGGTCTAACTCTAAACTCGACCATCAGTCATTAAAATCGTCGACCTTGATCATTATTTCAGCACGTTTATACATACTGATACAACAACAGCACACACATAATAACTGTATAGTAGCTTCCTAGTCTTGTAGCTGGCAATACTATTTATAACTATAAGCGTGGTCGACGGTGCACATTTAGCTGAAGTGACCCAAACACAAACATTTTAATGTCCGTTCATAATTATGTCCGTTCATTGAATGTCCGGTCAAATGAGGTCCGATAAGGTAGCAGTTGACCAACAAACTACAACCCGTGACCAAACTTTTGAGGGGGTCCCGACTCCCGGACCCCAACCGCCCACCGCGGTGCCCGCGGTGCAGCTGCGCCCATATTTTAGCCCGATTTGGCCAAATCACCTTAACATGCCCAAAACCCAGATTTTAGGTGTTCTACGTACTGTAACTAGTGGTCCCTGAACTGTACTCGTATATGAATTTTCATCCAGATTGGATTATTATATTAAACCAGTAACTGTAAGTACAGTATGCCATCTGCAAAGCATGAGCAACAGCTCTCAAATATAAAACACAGCGGAGCTATTAAGGCCAACGTATACCCACTGACTTTTGGCCCACCCTGTATGAAAGGTAACCCTAAAATTTACATTCTCTGAGATATATAACTTAATGTTTATAGAAATGTGGAAACTAAAAATAAACAAAACTGCCCATATCTCAGTTCGCAATTTTCGCGACAGTGACTTCACCAAAAAACCTAAGGCTTTTTCAATTTCATTTTTCAAAATTTTCCCATGAAATTTCCAGAATGGGTTTGGAATCTAATCGTCTCAGGACCTTAAATTGTTTGGGCCGGATTTTTGAGTTAGGCCTTTAAAAAAGTTTAGTGGCAAAAACAAATCTAGAATGTGACTGAGGAGTGATTATATTTTTCATAGTATACTATAATAAACTAATATAGTATTAGTAATCGGCTACACACATATCTACGCATATGTAGGGACACACACTAAAATTAATGGAAATTATTACCGGACTTTATTATTCACGCTAAGGTCTTCTGGTCTTCAGCATGTCCCTGATAATTATGACCGATGAGGTATATACTGAGATCCATTTGTTCAATTAAATTTAATCACCAATTTATCAAACATTTTGAAAATGAGAAATTGTCGTCGAATTGTTTTTCAAACCCCGATTCGCGGATTTGTTTGACATTTAATATAAGCGGCATATTTTGGCGACTATCGAATATAAAGCAAAAATGTAAGTTGAAAGTTAAGTGAGAGATTCAGGATCTCTCAGTCTCAACGCAAAAGACTTACATTAAAAGACCCTTTTGCAGTGATATTATATAGTTGAACAATGAACAGTTGAATCACGAATGAGATCGTATTCTGTTATTGACATGGATTTCATGAATTTATTTCGTTTTTATCAAATGTTGTTTCAATTCGTTCTCTTGCTATTCACTAACTGACTCAAAATCTATATGTAAAAATAGACTTTGAATCGCACTTTCTTTTGTCCTAAAATCACACAAAGAAAGTAAGCACAACCACATCTTGATTGTAAATCACAAGGCTAGTAAATAAAGGGTAATGCTTTTATGACACAGTGGTATTATAGTAAAAAGATAATAATAAAGGTATCATGACCGTCTTATGCTTTTAAACGAACATGATTCAAAATTGGCACTGTACCGCCAGAGTGCCGCCAGATTGCCACGACACTGACAGTGCCGCCAGAGTGCCACGACACTGACAGTGCCGCCAGAGTGCCACGACACTGACAGTGCCACCATAGTGCCACGACAGTGCCTCGAGAGTGCCGCGACAGTATCATCGGGATCTGGATGTATGATCCGAATTCACTGTCGGACTATAATATACGTGAGGTTTGAATTTTATGTAATAATAATTAGGTATCATTTCTATATCAAACTCAAAGTCCTCGCCTCATCTTTCTGAAATTCGATTTTATTTTTATCACAGCTTTTCAGTCCTTTATCCCAATATACATGGCTAGTGACCATTGACCATGAACAAAGATACCATGCGTTGGGTTTATGTAGATTGTGGTGTGTTACGGTGTTGTAAAGTATGAAGGATTGTTCCGTACCACACTTATAATTTTATCACAATTTGTCAATGTGTCACTCGTCGCATAGTCAGAATCCAACGTATACACAACAATTGAGCTTGTTTAGTATGTTTGATCCTCACATCTCCTTCGATCGTAGGTTGATACTCAATAAATCTGGATAATGATGGGTGATCCATATTTTTCAGACACGTGACACTCATGACAGTGGATAAGTGATCAGCTTTTAGCATTGACCACTAAAAACCCTGTCACATGACGTCAGAATCCACTTCATTAGAAAAGTTCCTTGACACCCCAGAACGTTCCACAATCTCAACCATGTCAACTCGATGGGAATATCCTTTGCTTGACAAGAACTTTCAATTAATTAGGTTGGAGCTCTGAAATTATTTCCAAAATGAACGTGAGAATACTTAAAAAGTTTAGTACGAGTTCTCCGCAAGCTTTCTCAGTACAGAACTAAGTGACAAAGGAGGTTGCTGCCCTAGGTATGTGACACCTGTATACTTTACAATTGAAGATTATTCCGCCCCCGATCATCATGCTGACTACTAAATATTCCGTTAAGAATCCACCGCCAGCCATTGGCCGATCACCTAAAGTTCGGCACGTGGTGTGACAGGTGGTGAGTGTTCCTGACCACGTGACCGGACACAAGGATTTTAGGATTTGCACATGAAAATCGGGGGTTACTATCCTCCTCATGGAAGGTTGCACTTCAAGATCCATTCCCAATGCTCTGCACGGGATGACACCTTGCGAAAGTTGTATCTCGTTCGTATCTCGTGCCTTCTTCATGCACATTTACGCCCAATTAAACGGCTCACCATCTCAAACAAGCCGAGTCAGGGGAATGTACCAACTTGGGTGGCCTGTGTCCAGGAGCTTCCATACTCCGCCAGTTGGAAAAATAACACCTTTATTTGAAATTCTCAAACTGCGAGCAGGTAGTTTTACCTTGCTAAATTTTGCAGCGCGTTTCTGCTACCTACAGGATTAGTTTGCTGGGACTGCTGCAGCAGAGCTTTTGCATAATTTATGCAGATAGTTTCCGTGGATTTTAGCTCGGCTCGAGCTCGAGTTTTATAAGTGCCGTGATTTTATATTGAACTCGGGGTATTTGTGACGCGGTGGTGTTTATATTAGTTTATGATCTAGTATATGTTAAAACTAGTGGATTTACACATTACAGGGTGTTCACGAAACATTGGTGGTACGGTTTTAAACACATGTAGGTTTTGTAGGAGTAATAAGCTATATTTTGTGCTTATTTTCGTTGTAAATCAGTTACAATTTTGTTACGATCACCAGCCCAGATAACAAATCTTTTACATTACTTTCAAAATTTCGTACGTTGTCCTGCAAGTCCTCTCAGATATAATATGCTATTTACAAAGTCTACTTTAAGATTGACATACACGCACACGCCAAATTTGATACTTGGCTTTTGGTCCAAACATTGGTAAAATATTAGTATTGGAATTTTCGAATGAAACTAACTTTATACGAAAAGGAAGCATAAGCTACACATTTTTTTGCGTTATTTAGCATAATATTTGTTAAAATGTGGATAATATTAATCGAGCCAAATAACCACAAAAGTGTTGAAAATATCTCGGTTTCTTTCACAAGATTATATTTACTCCATTCGTTATAACTTCTTCATTCCTTAATATTGTGGTATTGGTACTTAATGTTCAATATGAAATTATATGTTGACTGTTAATTATTGATTAGATTTTAGATTAAGACCCAATGAAAAATTTGGCTGCCAATTTCCAAAATAGTTTTGGCGGAAAAATTCACAACAATTTTCACAAAACCGTTTAAACTTTAACATAGAAAATGACCGCAAAATATAGATTAATACACCTTCATTAACTAATCTACAGAAAAATTTGGCTGCCAATTTCCAAAATAGTTTTGGCGGAAAAATTCACAACAATTTTCACAGAACCGTTTAAACTTTATCATAGAAAATGACCGCAACATATAGATTACTACACCTTAATTAACTTTTCGACCCTGGCGGGCATGCAAGATATTTAAACAGCCAGGTTGAGGAGAGCATGTTCATCTCGCCCACTGATCCTGTCGAAATCCAACGAACAATCTGTACCTTGAAAAATAAGGCCACACAGGATGTAAAAGTTGAGCCGCTCAAGATTGCCAAGGATTGTCCTAAGTTCTGTGGCATACTCTCAAATGTAGTAAATTCTTCCTTCAATGAAGGCTGCTTTCCGACATCACTGAAAATTGCAAAGGTAGTTCCTATCCTTAAGGGAGGCTCAAAACTAGATGTGAAAAACTACAGACCAATATCATTGCTCTGCACCTTTTCAAAAATCTATGAGAAACTCATGCACAGAAGAGTCCTTGACTTCCTAGAGCGACATAGCACTTTATTTGAAGGACAATACGGTTTTCGGCCGGGTCGGTCGTGTGAACATGCGCTCCTTGATGCAACCAACACGATTAGACACAACCTCTCCAAAAAAGAGGTCTCTCTACTCCTCCTACTTGATTTTAGCAAAGCGTTTGGTGTAATTTCCCACGATATTCTCTTAGACAAACTGTATCATTATGGTATAAGAGGACTAGCACACCAATGGTTCAAGTCTTATCTAAGTTCCAGGAGTCAGTATGTTTCAATAGGGGGCACAAATTCTTCCTCACAGTCCATGAGACACGGAGTGCCGCAAGGCAGTATTCTAGGACCTTTACTTTTCATAATATATATCAATGACATGCCAAAAATCAAATCGTACGCTAAATTTGTTTTATATGCTGACGACGCAAACATAATTATATCCGGTAAAAATCATCAAGAAATACTACAAAAGATGACAGAATTTTCACCTTTATTGATAAACTGGGTAGATCAAAATGGTCTTTCGTTAAACCTTAAGAAAACGTGCTACATGCTCCTCTCACCCAACAGAACCTCAACACCTGACGTAAATATTCAAATTGCAGGCACCACTATTGAGCGAAAAACTAAGGCCCGATTTCTTGGCGTAATTGTTGACGAAAAATTGACCTGGACCAGTCACATTACTGCTCTTAAAGCGAAAATGATGCGGTATATTGGTATTATGTACAAAATAAAAAGTCGGCTGCCGATTAAAGTTAGACTCCAGATATACCAAAGCTTTGTACAGTCTCATATAAACTATTGTTCATTGATATGGGGTTTTGCTGCAAAAAGCCATATAGATGCTTTATTCAGCAAACAGAAGCAAGGAATAAGGGCTATTATGCCTGGCTTCGTAAACTACTACTTTAAGGAAGGTGCCTTACCACAACACACAAAGCCATTTTTCAGTGAACATGAAATTCTCACTGTGCATGGTCTTATCGTTTACAACTCAATTATCTTGATGCATAAAGTTAAAAACATGCCACAATTAGTCCCCAAAAAAATCTCTCAAGCTTTTCCCGCCGACATACCCACAAAACTTTCTGATCACACGTCAGCCTGCTCCTGGCTCCAGTTATACGGGAAAAGACACTTTCAAAACAGTATTTTCTACAAGGGACCACTGCTCTCTGTCTTCGCAGACAAAACAGACGTTACTACACTTCCGACATTATTTTCGATAAATCTGTTCAAGACTAGTGCCAAGAAAATGCTACTTAATCTTCAAAGTGATGGTGATGTTAACGAGTGGCAACCATTCCTACTGCACAATGTTCCTGGCCTAAGACAGTCTAGACGTGAAATTTAAACTTATAACATTTAACCTGAATCGAATTTCAACTGAAACGAATATAATCTAAGTTTAAATTAAGTCTATTGTCTAATTAATCGCATGCAACAGGGAGCAGTATGAAAATCACACAACCCAGCACATATAAACTACACTAAATGACACGAATTTAAATAACAACTTGCAATTACTGACTACCAATATAATAACCGCTCGCATAACTACCCCCACTTAGCGTAGATAAGCAAGCATTTCACTGCCGCT